AGTGAGTAATAGTTGTCATATATTGAATGAGAATCTTAATTTTGAGAACTGTCCATTCTCTACCATGTCAGAAACCAGAATATTGCAGGTATATGTGCTAAGCTGAATACATTTAGACCACCTTTCTTCTGAAAATGTTCAGAAATTAAACAGTTAAAATTAGAGAAGAGGCTTGGGACTGAGGAAGAAGACGTAGAACATATAGCCCCATTTAAAATTTTTTCTCTGTTAGCAATGTTGCTATCAAAATTTTATGGCTTGGGTTAATAAGATGAGCTTGTATCATGTAACTCTGAGACACACAGTCTGAGAAAGTACAGCAAAGCAATGGTTTATTATTACATTGCTTTGATTAACTGATTAACTTCTTCAATTTTCCTAACTTGGTATTACTTCATGCATTCAGATCCAGGTAGGAAAGATTTACTTCTGAAGACAAAGCTCTACTATTCAAAAGTAGATATAAGAAAATTTTAGGAATTATATATTACTGAATTTACAAGATAAGATTTGCAAACCAATTTAACTACAGTCGCTCTTTTATTTCAGTTCTTTTGGATCACTGACATTTTTACCTTAACAGAACTATGTCTAGAGGAAGCCAGAATCTGGCTTTATGGTTGTAAGGTTTTGAAAAATTACTGTTTCTTCTTTTTTCAGAATGGCAGGGACATGCCCAGCCTCTTTTCCATAATACTATTTGTCAGTAAACTTTTCAGAAATGTGTCCCTAGTAGTTTGTTGTTGTTTTAACCCACAAGTGGAAGATTAATAGCAGTGCCTCTTATGGGACTTGATCATCTGGCCTTATTTGGATGGATCTGTTTATCATTAGATTATTAATGCCATGCTATCTTTGCAATAGACGCCAATTTTATTGTTTAATCTATCAAAAGATGCTGCAGTTCAATTATTTTTATGTAGAGTATCACCATATTTTTTGATAGGAGAGGTCATTTCTACTTTTATTAATAATTTGATTCATGATATTCTACATTATTGCACTCCAATTTTAATGGACTTAGAATGTAATGTTTTCACTGATAACAGTATTAATGATGTCCAAAAACAGAGAACTTAAGGTCCTTAGAAGTGGTAAGTCATGAAAAAAAATCTGTTGTGCCACAACATCCCCGCCCCCCAACCATAGAGTTAAAAGTAACAATAAATACTCAGACATAACTTAAGTCTAAGGAAGTTTTACATGTGCTGACTTTGTCTTGAGAGGATGCTTTGATACTTCAGGTATTATTGAAATAGACCATTTTTAAAAATCTATTTTGAGATTTCTGCTTTCCTTGGACCCTACACATTTGTCCTTTGGATAAGCCCACATGGTCCATTCATTCACTTTGTAGAAATAGGCCAGGATTTGGGAGATCCACACTTCCAGCTCTGTTTTGTCCTCTGTCATGTTAACAATGGCAGTTCATTTCATCTCTTTATACCTCTTGATCCACTTCTCAGAAAATTACTGTAAAATCTGTTTAGCTACTATCTGAAAGAATGAATGCAAAAAGTCAATGAAAAATATAAAGCATTATATAAATCTAAGAAAACAGGTGTGGATTTACAGGAAAAAAAGCATTTCTATGAAAGAGGTACCTCCTGATAGCGTTTGGTTGTTAGTTTATAAATTTCAATATGGCTAGGTTCTGGTCCTTCCTTTGGATGTTAATTTCTATTCTAAGCAATATATGTGGCTTGTCATAAGGCAGTTGTCTTCTTAGTGTTTAGTTCAGGGAGAGGAAGACTAATATCCATTCGTGTTTTGTTTTGCTTATTATTATTAACAAGATGCAGTGTTTCTGCATGGGCAAATTCTAAGTAAGTACTCTATCCTTCCAAAATATAAAGATATTTCTAAGAATACATTTTCAAGTAAAGTATTAATCTCATCCAGCATTCTAGAAAATGTTCTGTACTCTATATTCAAAGCTCAGTTTCTATCCTAGAAACAAATAAGTGATTAGATCTGAAGAGTGAGTCAAGGAAATAGACACTTATGAATGATTAGAGCATTTTATATAATTAATTATAGTATTGGTAGTATGGTATTTCAAGTCAGAATATTTTAAAATTTTGGTCCCTTACTTCAGCATTTCAAATGTTCACTCCTGGTAAATAGAAACAGGAGCTTTCACTAGAGAAGGAACCATAAGGGCATTAAGCCCCTGCCTCAATTTCTAAAGAGGCTTCACATGTAGGCTTTCAGTGTTATCTCTGAATGGGGTTACCAGAGGATACCAACAGGATCAAAAGACAGGGCTTTAATTATGAAATGTATTTATTCAAATGTACCATAATTTAAGAACTTTTGAAAAATATTTCTTCATTTTGCAATATATTCTAAGAACTTTATCAATGAAGGTTGCTTAGGATTCTTAATGTCAAAGAAGGCTGGGAGGAAAAATTCTAGATAAGGAAAAAGAAATTATTTTCCATCTTCACCTCCATAGCAAGAGAAATATTATTTCATAAATGAGTATGAGATATGTCTGGGATCTTGTGTCCCTGTGCATAAGAAGACTCCGTGGTCTGTGGGCCTAGTAAGCATGAGGTGAGGAAGAAAGGATTCAAGGAGAATAAGATGCCTTGGCAAGCCTCCCCATAGAATGGATTCTGAACACCAAGAAAAGTACCCCTAGGGAAGTGCTTTTATCCATTTTTTAACATGTAGTGACATACCAAGTGCTGTGTCAGAATAACATCACAGAGAATAATGTGATAAAATACTTGCTAATTTTTTCCTAAGATATAAAATGGGAATTTATATATTTTTCGTGTACACATGTACATATGAACACAAACATATTTGTACCATTGCAGGTACTCTGTTTTTCAGAGTTAAACTATAAAATAAATTTAATATGATTAATAATGATTATTGAAACACAGATTTGGAGCAAAGTAATGCTAGAACAAGTAATATGGTTGAGATTAGTCTTAAATCTGTCTAGAAGGGATTCCTACACAAGTGCCTTATTAGCATTGGGAAAAAGGCAGATTGTGGAGAGCATCAGGACACTGGAAGCATATGCAAGGTATCTTCAAGTCCACCATTTGCCCATCATTTTTCAATGGAAGATTTCTCTTTTATATAAGTAGAGAAAGCTGTAATAGAAATCCTCTATGAAAATCAATAGAACATTCTTCTCAAAAGCTATTTGTTGAGGAATTTATGGTCAGCCACAGAGTTCCAATTGGCCATGACTCCATGTGAGTTAAAATATCAGGACCAGGCATGCATCATGGATATTTTTTTAACTTCGAATTATTTTAATATAGGTTTTCAGAGAGTCAGAAAAAAAAAAGATCTCTAATCAGATAAACAAAACAGGCAGAGATGTGAATTCCGTCAGTAAAATAGATAAATAGGAATCAAATTCGTGTGTGTGTGTGTGTGTGTGTGTGTGTGTAGTTAGGGAAATAACAAAAGAGAAAGTGAGATTTTAAATTGTGTATATATTTCTTTATTTGAAAACTAATATAAAATAGTTTAATGAAACACTTTTAAATTGTTCTCTTTATTTTTCTCTCACGATTCTTTGTATAGTATAAAAATGCACTTTTTAAAAAACTGGACATCTTAATTTACAAATAATAGTTATATTAAAAACTCTAGTGGAGTTGAATTTTAATTACCTGTGTATGGATCATCCACAATAGATTTAATTGTGGACTTACACTTTCTCTTTGGTATTCTTTTTTTTTTTTTTTTTTTTTTTTTTTTTTGTCTTTTTGGTATTCTTATGGCTTTTTTTGCCCTGATTCAGGATAAGTGATGCAAACTGATTTTATTATTAAATTCAAGGCAAAGTATGCTTTACAATTTTGGATTTTAGTGCATAGGGTTTCTTCAATGTTGGTTTTTTCCTACAGCCTGAATAGGTAAATATTAACCCCATCACTATTAATGGAATTGTTGTAGACTTGGACTTAATTATACATAAGATGCATATTTTCTTTCCTTTCTACAATTAAAATATAGTAGTGTTCATGACAGCTGGTGCATGTATCTGAGCAACTGTCTGTAGCATTTACGTCTAATTTACAACTCATTTCTTCTTCTTCTGTATCTCATGTTTTATGTACCAGCATTAGTGTTATGGTGGAAGACTAATGCCCTGTATCACACTCCTTAATAGCACTGTATCAGTCAGTGTCTGCTTTTATTTAGAGATATTTAGCAATATGTCAGCTTCACTTCTGAATTTACTTGCTTTGATAAGAGAAATACTCTGGTTTTTGAAAAGTTAATATTTAAAAATTTTCTGACAGAAGTATTTATTTCTAATATGATTCTAGATCATGGTTCTGAAAATAGAAGCTCTGTATAGGGTATGGGGAAAGCTTACTATGACAGCGTGAGCTATTGTAGACATAAATTATGAAATACTGACATAAGATAATACATGGAATAAGTGGCCAAAATGCATTTCCAGGTGTGTCATTTTCTGTGGAAGGGATGATTCACTGCAGTAAATATATACATAATTTCTCTTAGAATTATCTATTATTTTCAATTAAAGTGTTTTAAAAAGCCATAATGAAGAAATGCTCATTAATGCAAAATCCAAAGTTTATTGTTTCTAGTTGGGGCTAAATTTTTAAAAATATATGTAAAATTGGATAAAACTATGATGGTGCTAGCAGTACTTTTAAAAAACAACGTTGACAATTTTTAACAAGGAAAATTCACTAGAATATCTGCACATTATGATTACTTTTCCTAAAAGAAATGCAGAAATATAAACAGATATCCATCCAGATGTGGTTGATTCTTTTTCGCCACATCGCATTATTAGCTATTATTAAGAGACATGCAATCAAGTTGGATAGATATTTCTTGAAATGATGCATGGTATGCAGTGCATGCTTTCATTGTGCTTCCTGCCATTATGGAATAATGCGTCTTATTTGGAAATACAATGATCATTTCTGTTGACTCATGCTCAGTCAGCTTATATAATAACACCTCTATTTTGTGAATCATTTCAGATTTCAGAGAGCTATGCCTTCCTACCAAGAGAAGCGGTGACACGGTTTCTAATGAGCTGCTCAGAGTGCCAGAAAAGAATGCATTTAAACCCAGATGGAACAGATCACAAAGGTAGCCACAGTGTCAAATAGTGAGATTTAAAGTAATTTTATTCATAATGTCAATTTATATCCCACATTTTTATAAAAATGTGGTAGACTGAAACAGTTCAATAAGTCAGATCATCTCATTTATTTGAGTAGGAGGCAGTGAATATTGAGTATCTACTTACAGAATGATTCTGTGCCCATTTTCGGAAGAAAGGCAGTTTTGACTGTGGCAACTAGCTTTTTTCCTATGATAATGTTTTAATTTTCACATATTGTGTGTATTCCATAGTATTTTAAATGTACTTAGCAAGGATGTTCCATTGGTGTCCCTTTAAATCTACCAATTCCTTATTTCTGAAAGTGATGAGTAGCGTGGAGCTCCTTCACTTAAAATGTTTACGTCGTTACAATTTGTCTTTAGCTCTCATTAAAAATTATTTAGATGGTTTTTCTAATCTATCAATTTCTCTCAGAGTTTAAATTAGTCTCAAAGGTACTTTTAGGCTAGTTCATTCCCATGTGTTGGGGAATGAATAGACAAAAAAAAAGAGAAAAATTAAAAAAACATACAAATTTTCTTTTTCACTCAACTAGCACATAGCTAAAGTAGGTATGCAGCAAAGGAGAAAAAAATACAAAAATACAAATAATTGTGCTTAATCACTATATGGGCTTCACCCACCGGTGTTGCTGGGGTATCAAAAAGCTTCCCTGTCATTAGTAATAACTAATTTATCTGTAGTGTTAATTTGTCCCATACACTTTTGTATAGTTATTTTTTCTGCAATCTATCCATAATGCTACCAATCTCCTAAAGACCTGGTATCTAGAATCCTATTTCAATTTGAACAAATTGGATCATTCTGAAATTACAGGTAGAATGTGGAATTACTTTCATACCCATTAAAAATGTTTTATTACAGATAATGGAAAACCTCCCACTTTGGTGACCAGCATGATTGACTACAACATGCCAATTACCATGGCCTATATGAAGCACATGAAACTGCAGCTGCTAAACTCACAGCAAGATGAGGTAAAATGGAAATATCTACTTCCAAGTCAGAATAGAGTTTGATAACCATGACTATTGTATTAAGCATGACGGCATTTTGAAGATGGTAATTTATTTTTTAATGAAAAGAATGTCACTAGGATTGCACAGATGGAGAAACGGGGAGAAACTTCTAGTCCTTGATAGAGTCCCTGTCTCAACACACCTACCTTAATGCTGTGTGGGAATGTGTTCATTCCCAAGAAAGACTCATTTTCCTTAATGGACTGCCATCAAGCTGGCCTTGGGAAAGTGCTAGAAAGTTCAGGGGAAAGTGTCCCAAATGAGTGAGTATCCAAGGAAAGTGTCCAAGCCTTTAGTACTAAGGCTATTTTGCCTGGAAGTAAAAAAAAAAAAAGTCACTTAACAGGTATTTCAAGTATAATCATTGTTCCACCATCTAAATATTTCATACGTTTTAACATTCTTTTTCATTATTCTATATATTAGTTTGTCTACTTCTCTGCATTTTCTAGAGATAAGTTGTGGTGATTCTTCCTAATTAGAAGTATTTTGATGTTTCAAACCATTCTGTTTAATTTGTACAGTAAGTATCTAGAAATGTGCTTACTGGCATCTATTAGACACAAATGCACATTTGTTGAATATTCTCTAGGATACGAATTAACTGTTCAATTTGGTGGAAGTATCCCAAAAGCAAGGACCAAGTTATATGTATTCCCCCAAAAACCTATAACAATAGGGGCTTTAGGAAATCCTTGTTAACTAGTTAGTAGACATTAATCAATGGACACATTCAGATTATCAATAATAGGAATAGTTTCTCAAGCTATTACGTATACTCCTTGAAATTTCTCAAGAACAGGAAATGTGGTTAAATGTTTTTCAAATAAAGCATTATTTGGTGAAGCATTATAAAATTCTCTCAATATTACTTTCTTGAGCTTTATTTAATAAAACTCACCTTTTTGTTTTCCTCTTTATTTAAGCGGGTTTAATCTTAAAACTGCATTTATAAAATCATTTTATCTTAAAAAACTATTAAGGATATATTCCATGAGAAGATCTGTATTTGTATAGTGGCTGTTTGGATTTCATATTACCAGATGGCTACATATAAATGATTAAATAAATAGTAATAAAATCTTTGGGTTAAAGACATGAGAGACAACTAAAAAATATTAATGTCTATCCATCCCAGAGAATGGAAAAATTATTCCCATCATTTATTATATAATTGGAAAAAATTTAAAACCTCATAAACTAGTTAGAGCTGTCAAATTATTTGTAGGAAGCTCACTCAGATGTTGGTACATTTATTTCTAGGCTAAAAAGTAAGATCAACTTTGTGCCAACAGTACAGCCCACATATGCTGAATCTTTCTGGCTTCTAAAGAATCATAAGTATTTCATACAAAGGAAGTGGATCTTTTTAATTTATAACTGGATTAGGAAAATAACTTTCAGCCTTACATTTTGAAGATACCAATTGGATATACACAGCCTTAGAAATATTCAGATAAGCGACTAGATTATTTGCAAGATTCTAGAAGTTGTGATTATTGAAAGATAGGAAAGTGGTTAAGTAAATCATACTGAAAAGGAATTCAAGTGAGATAGTTCTTTGTGCTCAGGTATATTTAAATTTTAATGTGTGAATTCTATTAGTTCAACCAATATTTACTGAGTACCTTCTATGTGATTGGCCTTCTTGTAGACAATAGAGATAAACAGTGAGTAAATTGACAAAAATATTGCCTATAAAGTTTAACCTCTAGTCAGGGGTAGGGGGGATAAAGGCAGTAAGTAATGAAAGTATGTATATGAGAAGATGCTAAATGGTACTAGAGAAATAAAGACGGAATGGGGATCTCTTTAGGATTACAAAATACTTTATCCAATGTAAGATCAGTTGACCTTCTTATAAACTGTTGACAGAGTTTAAACCAGGATAAATTTACTGGGAGAGAGCTCGGCAATAATCATTAAAAACTTTTAAAAGTTACTCATATGCTTCAACTAGAAATTTGTATTAAGGGATGAAATGAATGAAGCAAATTATGTATTAGGATGTTTATTACATTGATAATTGTGAATAATTGAAAATATTTTCAAGATCCAACAATGAAGAATTGTCAGATCTTCAGTGTCCGATGTGGTAGCCACCAGCTGCATGTGGATATTTAACTTTAATCGAAAATTAATTAAAATTAACTAAAATTAAATTTTTAGATTTTCAGTTGCACTACCCATGTTTCAAGAGCTCAATAGCCAAGCATAGCTGGTAGTTATCTGCTGAATAGGGGATATTATAGAGCATTTCCAACAGCACAGAATGTTTTTCTGAACATTACTGGCTAAAAACTAGCATTAGTGACATCCATGGAGCTTACTGAACTGCATGCTGCAGGACCTCGACCCCAAGATTCTGATTCTAGATGTAGTGTGTGACACCTGGTGATCTGAACTTTTAACAATAACTACACTCACGCACACTAAAGTCTGAGGTGGTGCATTTCATAGAAAGGCTGATAATATAGGCTTTGAGTTGATTTGAGCATAAGGCAAATGAAAAACAGAACAAAGATGAGATTGGTGAGAGTGGTTTTCAAGCAGTCTTTTGGAAAACCCTTTATGTTTGATTGAGCAGCTTACACATTACTTGGTAGATTTGGATTGACTTGAATATAGCTGCAAATTTATGAGCAGAGAAGAAGCACTCTCTGAAGTGGAAAGATTAATTTAGCAGTAGTCAATAAATAGGACTGGTGGGGAAGAGATTGGAGGTGGGTAGAAAACTAGGAGACTATTATTAATTATTCAGAAAATGGGAAAATGAGATTAAGGCAATAGCAATAGAAATTAAGAGTCACATGGTACAGACTCTTTTGAAGTAAAATCTGGAATTGAAAACTGAAATAAAATATGGTATAGATCAGGGATCAGAATTTCAAGCAACTGTCTTAAAAGGAAAAAGACTAGGGATAAAATTATTTATTACAGTAAAATATTTATTCTAATTTTTAAAAATTAAGTGTTAGGGACGCAAATGCTATAATAGTTGGCCAGGGCTTTCATTATGATAATATTTTAGTAACATAAGGAATAAGGTCACATTGTAAGATGTGAAGACTCTCTTTCTGGTTGTCATACAGAATAAAATACTCACAGAGGGAAAAATTTAGATGAGTCGCCAGCAGATGATTATGAATAAAATAAAATACTTAATATATCAATCAAGTTTTATGATTCTTCACTCGTAGAAATCTTCAGTAATTTCTTTCCAGAGTGATTAGCATTGTTTCTACAATGATAATAAAAAACCACAATATTATACTTTATATACTTTTGCCACCTCTTATTAAAAGATAGTAATCTAATCATTTAATAATTGGAATATAACTTACAGAATGAATGCATGCACTTAGTTTCATTAAAGGTTTTGGATAATTTATATTCTAATAAGGAGTAGAATTATGAAAACTGAATTATATTTCATAGGAAGTCATGGAGGAAAATATTTAAGATAGTCACAATCATTAAGCCACTTATGATGATAAATAGAATGGTGAATCTTAAAAAATAAAATACATAACAGGTACATTTCGTTATATAACCAGTTAATTTATTGTCCACATTTCTTACAAAGTGTGCTGATAAGAGTGTTATTTATTGGTGATAAAATGTGTATTGATTATTCATAATGTGGTATAGCAGTTTCTATAATCATTCTATGAATCAGAGATTGTGATCTCTTTGTGTCTAGTTTTTCTTTAAACACACATACATTCTCACGTACACATACATTTTACATACACACCTGCATTCACATGCACACATGATATATATCAGGTGGTATATATTGGAAATGATATTTTACTGGATTACATATTGTTAGCTATTTTTAGTATATATAATACATACTGATTCTAAAGACCATGTTTATATAGAATACACAGCTACTTTACAAACACATGTTGGTCATCTTTACCATTATAAATATATTTATTTTTTGTAAATGTTCATAAAATATAATTAGTATGAGTCCTATTATATACTGCAGAATTTTCTGTATGTTCTACATAAAAATATTAAACAGCTTTGCTTTTATTATATATCTGACATTGTTCTAACTACTTTAAATATTATTATATTTCCTTAATCTTTATATAGCCCTATGAGATTAATGCTATTATTTCCATTTTATAGATGAAGAAATTGAGGCACAGAAAAGTTAGGTAGCCTATGTAAGGTAACACATCTAAGTGACAGAGCCTCGATCTAAATCAGTCAGTCTGGCTCTAAAGAATGTGCTCTAAAATACTACCATATCGTAGACACTATATATAGTATATATAATAAATATCTATGTCACTTACTTACGTGTGCATATGTATGTATATGTATATGGTACACACTGATAATGTTGATGTGCACATTGAATTGTTATTTTTTTCTCTTTTTAACATATATATTTATTTCAGATGCTTTGGATTTTCTTAGAATTTAGAATTGGAGAAAACATAATGTACCGAGAGAGAGGGCATGCCGCCGGGAGAAGTCTATGTGGCTGATTGCCCAGAGGCCTCGCAGGGTGGCATTTCCTTGCTGAATTAATGAAGAGCTAGTGCTACTCAGTAGACCCAGACATGATCAGACCTTTTGTAAAGGAAGGACACCAAAATCACCTTGACCTGACCTATGGATCAGAATGCCAATTTGTTAGTCTACTAGAATGTTCCAGTCCCCTAACCATAGCAACTTCTTTGCTGATACCAAGATGTCATTTATGAAGCCAAGGTAACTCTTCCTATTCAAAGAAGCTATTTTCTCAAGTCTGAGTTACTTCATATAAATCCCGGTTCTGGTGTATATAATACTGGGATACATTCTTTAACTGCTCTGTGCCTCAATTTCTCAATCTGTAAAATTCAATGAATCCTGGGACAGGTGGTGATAAAGTTGAAGGGAATGAACAAATATAAAGAATAATTACCTGGAACCGAAATAGCACTACAAGTACAGCTACTGCTAATTATTATATTAATGCTAAACCTTCAGATCAGACATTTACAAACTAAAGTCAAACCTGGTGATTTTGATTAAATACTTGCAATATGTATGTCACAGCAGGTTCCTCAGGCTGTTCTGCCTACATAAGTATACGACTGGCCGAAAATCAGTTCTCCTACAGGAGTTTGCTTCAGTGAAATGGCTACAGCAAAATATTTTAGGATTTGGATTAAGTTAGTTTTTGACAGGCTTTGATGAATTGGGCTTTTGGAAAACAGGCCTTTGGGTAATTTCACCACTCAGTGAACTGGCTTTTGGCAAATGGATCTTGCACATTTGTACTTAGAACTTCTTTTTGTATTATGATGTATATTCACTTGTAAGGAAAGAAGGGATGTGATAAAACTTGCTCTCAGTAAATGTGGATTTTCAATATAGCCATGTAAGCTTGTCAATTATTAGAATCCATCCTGCTTGTCAACGACAATTTTTTGGTTAAGGTTTTCATACTGCATCCGAAGATTTTTTTCTTATAATATTTTATTAGGTCATTTATTTTTAGACTCAAAACACATATTTCTCCATATGTTATATTTTGTGATTTGACTTTTTCTAGGAAGTTTTTTTTACTAATTAAAAAAATACATTTTTCATTATTTTGGATAATTCCCCAACTATATCCTTCCTAAACATGTTATTTTACCTTTTAAATCTGCCTGTACATAGATACATTGTTTGATTTTTCACAAGTTTTGAAATTCCTTAAAGGGAGAAATTATTACATTATTTGTTATTTCAAGGATCTATAAATATGTAACATGTTTTACTGAGTTCTGTAAAAGCTTACTTACTTGCTAAACTCTAATTGACCCTGTAGATAAAATGGTCACTATTTGAATGTTATATTTTATGATGCTTGATGATATTTTAAAACCATTTTCAGGATGAAAGTTCAATAGAAAGTGATGAATTTGATATGAGTGATTCAACGCGGATGTCAGCTGTGAACTCTGATCTTAGCTCCAATCTTGAGGAAAGAATGCAAAGTCCTCAGGCTCTTCATGGCCAGCAAGATGGTAAGCCTTTCAAACTGAACAAATAAAACAACAAAAACCTGAGTCAGAGTCAGAATGTATTAAAACAACCATCTTATTCTCTTGTGCCAGTTTTTAATGTTTCTACAGGGACTTTTTCTGTATTTTCAGGTTCTATTATCCACTTTCATTATTTTTGGATTCAAGTACTTTGTTCAAAAGTAGGGTGACAGACTGATTTATAAACAGATGTTAATTATAAAAATCAAGCTTGCCCACGTTTTGCTCCCTGAATACAAAACGTGTTGTGTCAGTGTAGTTTTGGTTTCTGTGATGTTTCCTAGCTTTGCTTTCTTGAGCTATAATAATTAAGCATTTAAAAATGATCAAAAGAGTAATTTGGATGTTTGAATTTTCCTAAAAGACAAAATTGTAATTAAAAAACAATTTTTATAAAAGGAAAGTTTTATCAAAGTGATTTTGCTGGGTAAGAAGATTTTTTTATATAAATTTATTTTTTATTGGTGTTCAATTTGCCAACATATAGAATAATACCCAGTGCTCATCCCGTCAAGTGCCCCCCTCAGTGCCCGTCACCCATTCACCCCCACCCCCCGCCCTCCTCCCCTTCCACCACCCCTAGTTCATTTCCCAGAGTTAGGAGTCTTTATGTTCTGTCTCCCTTTCTGATATTTCCCAAACATTTCTTCTCCCTTCCCTTATATTCCCTTTCACTATTATTTATATTCCCCAAAAGAATGAGAACATATAATGTTTGTCCTTCTCCAATTGACTCATTTCACTCAGCGCAATACCCTCCAGTTCCATCCACTTCGAAGCAAATGGTGGGTATTTGTCGTTTCTAATGGCTGAGTAATATTCCATTGTATACATAAACCACATCTTCTTTATCCATTCATCTTTCGATGGACACCGAGGCCACAGTTTGGCTATTGTGGACATTGCTGCTATAAACATCGGGGTGCAGGTGTCCCAGTGTTTCATTGCATCTGTGTCTTTGGGGCAAATCCCCAGCAGTGCAATTGCTGGGTCATAGGGCAGGTCTATTTTTAACTCTTTGAGGAACCTCCACACAGTTTTCCAGAGTGGCTGCACCAGTTGGGTAAGAAGATTTTTGCTGGGATTTTGAGTTACTTTATTCAGCTGTAAAGGGGAAAAAAATCATTATCTCTTATTCTTGGGTCTATTGACAATTCCTGAATTTCCAATTGTTCTTGATAGGAAGAAAATTACATATATAAAGAAAGTAGACTGGACAGTTAGTTTTTTAGGTCTACTATTTGTACAGATCTTTAAAAATTATCTTTGTAGATTTCTATCTTTGTAAGTATAGAATTATGTATGAAAGTTAAATTTGAACCTTACTATGGTAATTGTGAGTGAAAATGAAAGGTAATAAATAGAAGGCAAATGGCCAGTTTTATTCAACATTAGTTTGTTGTTCCTGTAATTAACAAGTTTACATGACTATTTTTTTGACTGAAGTTTTGTGTCTACATCTGTAGGTAGGGAAATGAAACTTTTTTCTTGCTTTCTCTGACACTTGCTATTAAAAACTGGTTGTAAAAGATTGCTGCATTTCTAGCTTCTGTTAGTGATCTGTTTTTGCTGTCAAGATATAAGAAATCCCTAGTCTGGGTGACGGACACTGAGGTGGGCACTTGATGGGATGAGCACTGAGTGTTATTCTATATGTTGGCAAACTGAACACCAATAAAAAATAAATTTATAAAAAAAAGAAAAAAAAAAAGAAATCCCTAGTTCTAAGTGTACCAAAAGTTCAAAACACATGGTGGCAAGGGTGTTTCTTTTTCACACTTCAGATTAATCTAAAAGATATTGGTGTCCTTGGCATGAATTACAAGGAAGGAGGAGTGCATAGATCAGTTGGCTTTTTTTGTTATTGTTGTTGTTGTTGTTGTTATTTATTTATTTATTTATTTATTTATTTATTTTGATCGGTTGGGTTTAAAAAACATCTCACCCACTAGAGTAGCATAGCTATTGGGATAAAAAGGATATTTACTTGCATAATTTCTAAGAATGAAATTTTTCTGGTTTGGTTATCTTTTTTCTTTTATAATATGAGTGGACATCTTTACTCATATTTTTTATTGGAAATTGTTTAGCACTGACATCCTAGAATAACAGAAATATATATCAGTGATATATTTTTCACTCCATTTGTATTTATTCGTGTGTTTTGTTTATTTGTACCACCCTCTTTTTTAGTCTATAATTCTGGAGAATGCAAGAGGCTGTGTCCTATGATGGAAGTTCACGGTTTTCTTGTTTGAAGTCGTCAGTTGAGGATCTTTGGCTAGGGATTAGCTAATGTGATACAAATTTACATTGATTTTAATAAAATTCAATGGAATAATTTCAAATATTAATTACTCTGAAGGGAAAGTACTTTTTCATCATATATGGATGTATGCCTCAAGGATAGGGACATATCTTGTCATTTCTTCTGTAGTCTAAGCCTAAGTCTTGCCTAAGTCTTCCCTTGTATAAATGCCTTTTCCACACATTTCTCACTGAGTTTTCTTTTGCGAGCCCTTCTTTTCTTCTCCTACATACAAGTCTGCTGTAATGAAAGTCATCTTTAGAAAGCCTCCAATGATCCCATTGTGACCTTAAATTCAGTGTCCCATTTCTCTCCACCATTCCCACAACATATTTTCCAGCAAAACTCATTTGAAAAGTTGTCTCATTATCTCTGCTTTCTCCCCTCTACTTTTTCTGCTCATCTCTGGTAGGCTTTCATCCTTGCCACTTCACATTGGAGAGCCCTAGAGTGCAGCCTTCAACTCTTTCCTCCCCTATGTTCACTCTCATGTAGATGATCACATGGAATCATGTAACTTTTAATGCCATTTACACCCTGAAGAATCCTAAATTTATTTCTCCAAGCCCTGGTATCTTTCTTGAGTTCAGGACTATCTCCCCCCAGAAACCTAAATTTTAATATTCTTTAGAAGATTTATCATTGTATGAAATATTATATTTCTTATTTATTAGCTGTTTCTCTTCTAAAATACAACTGCTATATTAATGAATAGATCTTATGCTTTTGATTTTCCTCAGTTGCTCCATTAGAGGTGGTTCTTACTTGCCCCATTATTTAAAAAATGAAAATATAATTTTATCATCATTATTTGACACATAAGCTTTACCTATTCTTTTAACCTTTCAAAAAATTTCTCCTTTCCCTTGACAGTAGCATTATCCTAGGTAATCTGCATTAACGAACTACTGTATCATTCTATTTTCCTTATACTTATACACACATATACACACATGAGCACACCCAGGCATACACACAAACATATGTACATACTCAGAAGATTTTATCATTCTTTTGTAAAAATAAGTTTATATTGTTTACACAATTCTGTATCTTGTTTTTCTCATACAATGTCACCTTTTGTTTAGAGCTTCCTATATACTAATATATATATGTATATTATAAAAACGCATACATATATATATGTGAGTGTGTGTATGTGTATAAAATGGTGAGCAAAGACATGGTCCCTACCTTCATGTAATATACAATCTAAAGGAATAAAAGTATACATGATATCACTCACATTTGAATACTTTTCATCTAACCAATGTGGGGAAATTCCAGTCTCTATAAAAATAATAATTCATAGTAGTAAAACTTGTAGTTTGTATCTATCTTCCTTAAATAGTGAAGACTCTGAGTGCTAGACATATACTGGATCTAGGGTGTATTACTTTCTTGTACATGGTGTACATTGATATTTGAGAGACTAGGGACTTGTGATATAACAAATCCAATTTTGGGTGGGCAGTCCACATGCAGCATCAACCTAGAATAGTCTAGTCCAAAACTTCTCAACTTGGGCACTACGGACACAGCATCATTGTTGTGGGGGATGTTCTGTGTCTTGTAGGGTGTTTCACAGTGTCTCTGGCCTCAACTCAGTACGTTAGTATTAAAATCTGTCTCCCAGATTGTAACAACCAGAAATGTCTCAGACATGGCAAATGTCCCATGGGGGTTATAGCTCCCTAAGTTGAGAACAACTTGTATAGACAGAGAAGGAGGGTCTGGGTAAGAATCCAGTAAGATGGAGATTAAAGAGACCCAATGAAGAGGAGTTTAGAAGTGAAGATTGGAGAAGAGTCTAGGAAGTTCATTCAGTCCACTTTCTGATTTAATGAAAGTGTTCTATATTCATGCTGTCTAATACCATAGTCACTGCCATGCTGCAGCTGTTGAGTACTTGAAATATTGCTCGTACAACTGAGGGACTAATGTTAATTTTCATTTGATTTAATTTTAATTAATGTTAATGTTAATTTAAATAGTTGCATGTGGATGGTGGCCACTGTATCAGATGTGGAGTCTAGAATATTGTTTTACTCTGACTTGGCAGTTAAATGCCTTTCTCTGTAGCCATGGGTTTGATGTATCTAAAATCTTTAGAGAAATTGTTGGTGAAACTCATATTTTAATAGTCAGCTGGAACCCCAGCTTAATATATGAATAATATAACATTTTAAATATTATTTCTTTTTTTATTTTTTTTAGATTTTATTTATTTATTCGTGGGAGACATGGTGGGGGCGGGGAGAGAGGCAGAGACACAGGCAGAGGGAGAAGTAGGCTCCATGCAGGGAGCCTGACGTGGGACTTGACCCCGGTTCTCCAGGATCATGCCCTGGGCTGAAGGCAGTGCTAAACTGCTGAGCCCCCCAGGCTGCCCACATTTTAAATTTTAAATTAAAAGGTTCTATTTTCTTTAATACTAAGTGATTAATTTATTATTGTAAAGAAATTGAAATATTGTGATTTTTAGAAATCCTTCCCTATAATTATAACACAGGTAGGTATAACAATGTTTTTGTTAGGCATCATATAAAATGGAGAGCTAAAAATTCCTTTTTAAAGTTTTTTTTTCCTCACTGTGCTTATGAAAGATTTTCAATCTAATCAATACCAAGGGAAGAAATATAAATTCATTCGAGGGATACATGTATACTGTGTG